AAAGAAAATGTTTATTTTTAGAAAGCAAATTCGTAGCACTAAATATTCTCTATAGGTTAGCTGGCTATCTCTAAATTCGAATTCTTTAAATTCTAATGAGGTATAAACCCTAGATGACACTGCAAAAGCAGATTTTTCTGCTCAAAACAGAAGATTGAGCACAGGATCTTGTGCAGCATGGCAGTGAAGGGATCTAAATACAATACAAAACAAATTCTGTACAAAATCTAAACTTTTACAAAAAAAAAAAAACAAAAAAAAAAAACAAGGGCTTGGATATCCATACTAATAAGTTAGTAAAGACCCTAATATCAGACTCATAGTATTCAGTTAAAGCAAACTACTTGTATAATTGACAACTCTGCTTACAAAACAGAGTAAAAACTCAAACAAGTCAAAGAATTTATTTTACAAGTGTAAGAAAAATCAACGGTTCAGATCATCTTTAGGTAAAAGATTAGCAAAATAACAAACAAACTTAACACATAAGTAGGAACATAATTATGAAAAAATAGAAAAAACAAATACATTTTTACACACACTTTTTGCTTAAAGGTATTATAAGGGCCAAGGTGATTGATAAAACAACTAATTTCTTCACACGGTAATTTTGACATTCTTTGACTGTAAGTTTGGTATGTAGATACCAAAGACATGTTTGGAAGACAAGCGAAAAAGACAACCTGACATAAAGTCATCAAAAGAAGTGACAAGCAGCCTGTTAACTTATCCACCGCTGCAATCTGTACCAGGTAGATCAGTACCATGTGGAGGAGGAGTGTAGTGAGGAGGCTGATGGGGCAAGCAGTTTGTTGGAGGAGAGTGGAGAGGTGAAACTGAATGAGTCATGGGCTGAAGTTGAGAGGGTGTATGATGTGCGAGTTGAGAGAGATGATGCACTGGTGCGCTAATTTGTGAGAGGTGTGATAATGATATAGGAGCCAGAGGTGGAGGTGAATCATGGGGTATAGGAGATACTACATGAGATATGGTGTGGTCAGGCACTGTGCCATCAGGTACAATTATCATGGTTGTTAGAGAGTGTGGAACAGTCAGGCAACTTTGCTGCTGAATTAAAATAGAATCAGGCATGCTGTTTTGCGTTGTCATTGAAACTATATTATTTGACTGATTAGGTAGGCCAATATAAACTTTGTGAGCTTCCTCTTGGTGGGCAACCATATCCTTTTTACGACCGAATCCTTTGTTACATACCTCACATGAGTATGGTGCCTCCCCTGAGTGTTTAAGTATATGAGACTTTAATGCGTTATTGGTAGAAAAGCTAGATGGGCATATAGTACATTCATAAGGCTTTTCACCAGTATGAATTCTAGTATGCGTTTTAAGGGGTGCTGATTGTGCAAAACCTTTTCCACAGTAGGTACAAACATATGGTTTTTCACCAGAATGTAAGACTAAATGAACTTTTAATGTTTTCAAGAAATTAAAACTCTTGCCACACACTTGACATGTATGTGAGCGGGATGCTGAGTGAATCTGACGATGTACTCTAAGATTTTTCATCTGGGTGAAACACTTTCCACAATCAGGACATTTGAGTGGCTTCTCTGTGGAATGTGTTTTTTTGTGGATATTAAATGTTGACTGGTGAACAAAGCCTCGTCCACAGACATCACATGTAAAATTGACTTCTCCAGTGTGCTGCTCCTTTATGTGGCCAATTAAACTATGCTTATGTGTAAAACTACGAGAACAGTCAGAGCAATTGTATTTTTTCTCACCCGTGTGAGTAAGTTCATGTTGAGTATATTTGGCATGACTATGAAATACTTGGTCACAATACTCACAGTCATACACCTTGCGAAACTTCTTCTTTTTCCCTTTAGTAGATTTAGCTTTAGATGACTGATTGTTTTCATCTTCAGCTTCATTTTTCTCATTGGCATTCCGAGTTTGAGAATCAGAATCTGAATCGTTAAATGATTTTTGGCTCTTCTCACCACAAGTATCCTCATCATCCAATTCTAGATTTTCATGGGCTTTGACATGGTCTTTAAAACGCTTAAGCTGCTTGAATGGCTTGTTGCAATAATTACATGTCATAACTGGTTTTGATTTCTTAGCTTTAGAGTGCACATTTTCACTGTGCTTTTTGAGGTCTGATAGTTTTTTAAAAGATTCATCACATGTATCACAGTTATACTTTTCTTTTGAGGACTTGGCAGTTTTAGATGGACTGGGTAGATAACTGTAATATGGAAAAGAAAAATGTTATAATACAGAATGATGATAAATGATAAGAAAAAACAGAGATAGTATCATACACTTACTCTTCGTCAGATTCATCATTGTCATAATCATTGCCATTCATTTCGTCTTCGTCAGATGAGATTCTTTCCCCTTTTATATCTGGTGTATCACACCACCTATCTCTTACTTCTAGAGGCAAATCTACTTGATCATCATCAAGGCGAACAGGTGTGGGACATGATGAGAAATGTTCTTGCTAAAAAAAGGTTGAGAGATGGATTTAAAAAAATAAGGTGGCTACTGCTATACATATTTAACTTGTATGACTAAATATTAAATTGAACAAGAAACTTTAGGTTACCTCTTTGTTACTAAATAAATACTGCTTGAGTTTGTTATCAACTTCCCAACACATCTTGCGAAACAGAAAAAATTTGTCAATGAGTCGCAAACAGGATCCACAAATAGACTCTGGCAATCCATCACCCAATGCAACCTGTGATAAAAATTAGAGGTGTTTAGGTAGCAATACTCGTAAAACAGAAAATAAACAGAATAACAATTAAATGAAAACCGGCGTTGAATGTGTTTCATAAAAATAAAGCATAGCTAGACCACAGCACTTAGCAGCCAAATACTTAAGTAGAAGTGTGGCGAAGGTAAGTAAACAGTGTGAGTAGAGGTATGATAAAAACTTGTGTTCAAAGGTCAGATAAGATGGAACTGACTACAAAAATAAAATAAATAAACAAAGAGTCGATTAAGTTGCAACAACAAATTCACACAGCAATGTACCTTGAGTGAGGTGCATTCGAAGATTTTTGATATCAAATCGGCGCTTAGAGGAGCTGAGTGTCCATTTGCATTCTTGGGATAAAATATAGAATTTGTAGAAAGTTCTAGACACAGACGACAAACTTTATCGACCTCCAGGACCATTTTAAAGTCTCGCAATGATCAATGTTTGTGAAGCTTTAATAACACGCCACCATATTGAAAGTTGTTTTGTACGAATTCAGAAGTAATGGCAACAAGAAGCATAAAATTTCAAACGTAGATTTACATTTCCTATGCATTTTATTAGGGTCTGAAATCCATGGTGATGAAAGTTTGCAATGTTGCATTTAAAGCGTGGACTAAATGCAACTTTTCTATAAATAAATACGGAAGAACTGTTATTATTTTGATTGTTTTGTTAAATGTGTTGGCACTCGTGTTCCTTATGAAAAATTTCGCTTGAAGTTTACTTTTGAGTGAGAGACAAAAAAGAAGGGCGCCGACATCCCAGCAGCACGACAAGCACGAGTCAAAATTTGGTCTGTTGCGCAGCCGTTCCGTGTTTAACACACATTCCCTTCGTCTTCTTCACATTTTGACGGTAGGTGGGTACGCTATTCTTCCTCTGTCCGTGTAATTAGGTAAAGGTAAACTTCTTTCATTTTCTGTTTGAAATTCGAATTGCAACCGCTTGAACGACCGGTTGTTCACATAACCCCCTCCAGTCAAATCATACGGCACACTGCACTCAAACTCAGGTGTGAGAAACATATGTTTCTGGAGTGTATTTCTTTTCTTTGCAAGTACTTTTGACCTTTAACAACATCAGTTTCAACGTAATTATAGCCAAATTTTCTTGTGATTCTACCAAAATTTAATTCTGCACTGCCCTTTTCAACTAACTCAGAAGAGGAGATGTACCCCTTTTCTGTTTCTATTTGAATCCTTGTTTGGGTAGTTTCCCTCTAATGCACTAAACTCATTTTTATATTCTTGCCAGTACACCCTCATTAGAGGCTCAGTAATTTGGGGCGCGTTAATCATTATTATCATTATTTTTTAACTTCTCTTTTGCTTCCAGTTAAATCATGTCAGGCCGTGAGGGAGGCAAGAAGAAGCCATTAAAGGCACCCAAGAAGGACGGCAAGGAATTGGACGATGATGACCTGGCTCACAAGGCAAAGCTTAAGGAACAGCAGAAGGCTATGCAAGAGGCAAAGGCTAAAGCTTCACAGAAAGGACCTCTCGTTAGTGGTGGAATTAAGAAATCGGGAAAGAAATAACAGGCTATTATGGTTACAATGTCTAAGACTGTATGTTTCCTACTGCATTTAATTTAAGTTCAAGTACTACAGAAACCATAATTTATTTGACCGTGTTTTTCCAAAATCTGATTGTTAGCTAAACTCCCAATAATACAACATTTATAAATGGTTATTAATTGATTGGGGCAAAGAGATGCAGTCTCTGGTATGCTCAATGGGTTGTCATGTATAATTTCCTCTTCTCAATAAATATTTTTTAAGAAAACTTTTCTTAGTTGAATTCTTTTTAAAGAAAACCATTTATTTTTACTTAACTAGAAAATAATTATAAAATTTAATAATACCAGGTCCACACGGACTTTGATACAAAGTTAAAGAATATAGGTTCTATTAGGATGTCCAATGCAAATATCTGCCTGAGCTTTCAGAATACCACTACACTAGTCATCACGAAACAGTTTACCTAAAAGGAAACTTATACAATATTCAGAAACCTGTCAAACTGGTACATTATCTGATGTACTTGTACTACCGATCACAGGCTGAAGAGATAGATCACAATATAAATGCTTCTCCTTTCCAGAGATATTAAGTATCTCAGGTAGGGACCAATAGATTATCTTAATATAACATGAACCACTACATATACTAACTAACTAGGTGTGTTTGAGTTACTGAGGGAAGATGAGACTTGGGGCACATAAGGTTTCCCTACAAGCTCTTGTTCTCTTAGAAGCTGCGCCTCTCTTTGCTGCTGCCGTTGAAGAGCTTGCTTTTCTTTCCGTTGTTGTAGTTTCAATGCCCGCTTCTGGAAATAATGTTCCAACTTAATAAAGAAGAGTGACAAGTTAATAAGTTGGACATAAAAAAGTGGAAAAAGTAACAAACCTTCATCTTGGTAGCTCTATCGTGAAGTGTCGTCATTTCCTTCTTCACTGCCATCAATTTCGTTTGGTAGGCCTTGACCGTTACAAACTGTAAAATTCGTAAACTGAAAAAATTTTGCTATGTTGGTAAATGAGGCATTACATTGATTGATTGAAAAAAATGAACAATGCAAACTGCATTGAATTGAGTCACAGAAAACATACTGACCATTCCTTGAAGGTCTTCAGCATTTTGTGTCTCCATAAATCTCTTGTTTTCATCCTGAAGCTGCTCGATGAGAGTATTCTGCTTGTTCCTGAAAAATTAGAGATATTCTTTGAGGCTTCCTTTGTTTCCAGTTTTTATGTAGTGCGTGTAACTTTTGGTTTGAATGGAATTATAGGGGGAAAGAGGTTTAATGCACAAGAAAAAGACAAACTTACAAAAGATTTTTGTTTAGAAAAGGGAGAAATGAATGAATACAGAAAATGAAAATGTGTAAGGATATAACTGTACAACTGCCTTAGGAATAAAAGATGTCCAAGTTAAAGTACATAAGTAAATAGATTGACTAACAACTAACCGCATGTTGAGCAGGGCCTGCAGGTTGGAACTGCCTATGCAAGGTGGAGATTCAGGGGGTCCCCTTCAAAATAATACACAACTACATAAGTATCATTCTATTTTTCTACATGAAAATTATTTATGTTAACCACAAAGTCATTTCCTCATATGTGAAATATGTCAAGAGCAAAAGAAATCCCAAATAGAACACTGGGAAATAAAAGAAGCCATAACTCAATAGGATTTAAAAAAAAGATGGGCTCCTGAATCCCCATAGAGATATGCAATGTGATGCATCAAAAGAAAACTTAGTGTGTTGATCCTAAGTGAGGAAAAGAGACCCTAGTAATGCAAGTTAGGGAAAGTTATCGCTCAGTATTGTATGTTGGATGATTTAGGTGAAAAGCATTGGACAATGTTTGATTCACTCCAAAAATTATTGGAAATAATAAGATGTACATACACAACTTCTGCCAATTGTTCTCTGAAACGCTTCAGCTCTGGTTCATAAAAGGTCATGAGGCCAGCAGCTAATTTCTCGAGGCAATCTTGACTTGCAGCATTGTTAATTTCTTCAGGGCAGCTGAAACAAAAGGAAACAGAATTAAACTTATGAAGACCACAGTAAATTTTTACAAGATTAAAAAAGTTTGGCAATTTCAAAAAATGCATAAGAAGTTATGAAGTTCTACGTAAACCACTATAAAACATTGTTATTTACAATGCACATATAACCTACTTGTCATAGTTGTCATGCTGAAGAAGAATATCACGGATCTGCTCCTTCAGTTTATTATTACTTGGTGCAGTCATTTCTACTGATGATTTCTTCCAATCCCTTCACTACTTTAAGAAAACAGGAGACAACAAAGCAAGTTCAAACTTAAAATTGGAGGAACAAAGTACAGCCAGGTCAACGCTCACTCCCACTCCCACTCGTTCTCGTTTGCTGTCAAGTACAGACCGGCGCAAAATTATGCTGCCATGACATTCGAGTTGGATGAAAGTGTTTTCAAGTACTTTTGAACGTATAATGAATAATTATTCACGAAGAAATATTTAGCCTCTAAAGTATGAGATGATAGGTTTAAAAAAATATGTATTTTGATGAAAACACGTCAATTTCTATACTTTCTCTTCAGACTGTATCTGGGTAGATCAATAACACGACCGAACGTGCCATTTTAATTGTGCATTCCAATATTCCTAAGCAAAGATCAGATTATTGGAAAGTCACTTAATTTCACAAGCTGAAATCAATTTTACTTTGCTTACTCGCATGTAGGAATTGAAGTGATTATCGTACCTTCCCTAAATCAGCCGGAGTTTTGACTTTGCTGTTGTCTGTCTGCTAGGAGAGTTCTGCTATCCTGCAAATAGTGGGCTTACGACTTCCCGGGTTCATTCTAAATTTGTCTCCTTCTTCTTGCATCACCCTCCACAATGTTTACGTTCAATGACAAGGTTTGTCGCCTATGCTTACTGTCTGATTCATCACAGTTGTTGAACATAGATGACGGCGAAAAAGGCAACTCAATATCCTCCAAAATCTATTTCACCCTTAAATGTAAGGTTAGTGGAATGCTGTCATTTGTTATTGTTTTTGTTTTTTTTAAATCCCCCTTGTAAACCTGTGCTCTTGTTCCGTTTTGTTTAACTTTAGATTTCTAAATCTGACAATCTTCCGAAGTATATTTGTAGGGAATGTGTTTCAACAATTGAGTTCATAACTGCCTATAATACTTGGCTTCACGAAATAGTAAATCAAGCAACCAGTGTTCAATATCTTTTGGAGTCATGCAATACTGATCAAAGTGTGAGTTGTCCACTGTGCACAGTGACATCCATGGATGTCGCTCTCACTCCAGATTATTATTTGATGCCATTTCATGTTTTACTTGCTTAATTATATTCTTTCTTTATCTACTCTCTTAGGCCCAACAATCTCTTATATCTAAATCAAATGAAAGAAACCATCCAAAATCAAGACAATCAACTCTTTCGACGCAGCTCCAGTCAAACACCTCAGACTACCCATGCTTTTACAGTTCATTGATGGAAAAGATATTTTTAAAGATACAGAACAATCAGTCAGATATTACCATCAAACTAACTTCTTCCTCTGAGCAGAAGCAAACAATTGGCCAAACCAACAGCCTTCGTATGACAGAGTATGTCTAAGTTTAAATTTCTGAATGGGCTACAACTTAAATTTGCATGTGCATACTTCATAAAATTGGACTTTATTTTTTTAGGTCAAGTGCAAGTTACTGTATCAATAAGAACTTGAAGGAAACTCCAAATAACGAAGCCAAGAAAACTTGTAATACACCTTGCAATGAGATTGATGATTATTCATTTAATAATTCTATTTGTGAGCAAAACCCAAGTAGTGAGGACTATTCTGCTACAGAAAATTTACCTGACACAAAGTTTGATTTGCTCACAAGTGGCAAAGAGTTGGCATGTCCCGAGTGTAAGAAAGTGTTCACAAAACGAAGTCTTCTTATGAGACATTTGATGTCCCATAGAGGTGCAATTGAAAAGTATCAATGTCAGATTTGTAGGAGGAAATTTATTTCGACCTCTGAAGTACAAAGACACACAAGAGCACACATGGGTCTAAAGCCCTACAAATGTAAATTATGCTTCAGATATTTCAGTCAGAAGAATCTTCTTGATAACCACATGGATTGGCATGAAGGAAAAAAGAGTCATTTGTGTGAAATTTGTGGTAAGTCTCTTTCAAGTCGACCCAACTTAAAAACACACATAGAGAACTTCCATTCCTTGGAGAGAAAAAAACTCTTCAATTGCGAAGAATGTGGAAAATCATTTTCCCGCAAACATCACTTAGAAAATCATAGCACAGTTCATGTGCCAGTTCGACCTTATCAGTGCACAATATGTGGTTTGACTTTTAAAAGATCTTCCCAGCTCCAAGAGCATGAAATTGTGCACACAGGAAAAAAGCAGTATGACTGTACTGTGTGTAAAAAGGCTTTCAGAACAAAGAGAGTACTCAATGTCCACAAATTATTGCACTCTGGTTTGAAACCACACCGGTGCACTGTTTGTTCACAAACATTCGTTCGAAAAGGTGGATTAACAGTCCATATGAAGACCCATTCAAAGTAGGACCTTCTGCAGCATACACTTTACTCTTTGCTGCATTAGAACATATCACAGTCAAGGAATTAATTTGTGAGAGCTGTTATGAGATCATGGAGTGTAAGCAGGATTTTCTATGCCTGCTGATGTAGCATGGAGCGTTTTCTTCATTTCACCATCAAACATATCATCTGTTAAAAATAAAAAAAAAATTCAGAAATTATGGTTTATATTTTTTTTTATCGCATTGAACTTTTCAAATATTTACATATATCTTTGAAATACCTGAATTTAGTGGGTCATTCCATGGTTGAACTTCTCCTTGACACAAAATAAGATAAATGATGTAAGTCACAACCCCAATGCCAGCACTAATGTAGAAGACAGTGTTCCAGGCAGCGACAGTTTGCTGTAAAAGGAAAACACAGTTTTTGTTTGTAATTGGTAAATTTGAAAACAAAGTGCCCCAGCGCGCAAAAAAATATCAGACCAAAATCAAACATCAGAAAATTGTGGGATTTTGTATCAGAATTATAAAAATGTGATCCTGAAAGTGACACACATCTGATATCTGATATTGTTCTGATATCAGTCTGACATTTCATTACTCACTGGGCTAATTGGCAAGTACACACATTTCTGTCCCGGCTCTTACATGCCAATATGGCGGGTTGCATACGCGCTGGCTCGCAGGCGCTGCGTCGGGTCGGGAACGCGCAGGATTTCGCGCATACCCCACGGTTCCACGGGGAGGCTCGCGGTTACGCGGGGATGCGCGAAATCCTGCGCGCTCCCGACAGCGCTTGCGAACCGTTGCCTGTGCAACCCACCATACTGGCATGTAGGA